GCTGAGACAAAATACCCAATGCCCAAAATTAAGGAAAGAAAGGTTTATTTAGCTTACAGTTTGTGGAGGTTTCAGTCCATACTTGGCTGGCTCTGAGGCAGAAGATAGCAAAGCAACAAGAGCAAACCGGGGAATGGCAGCCGAACAGCAAAGCAGCCAGAGCAAAAGGGAGGAATGGCCACAAGTGGCTTCTTTCCCTCCCTTACATTGTAAACAGGCTACCCCCACCTAAGGGGCGTGTAGCTCTCACATAATCTCCACACCCTCCTCCTCCAAAGGCTCAGGATGTATACAAAGTAAGCACCCTGGCTCCCTGCTGAGGCACTTAACCAAACCTCTAGACTCCCCAAGTTGACACAATGTATCAACCATAACACTCCACCCCTTGTCAACTTGGCAACCAGATACATTTCTTTAAACCAGTTTCCAGATACAAAGACATTATATTCCATTAGAACCATAACATTTCACCCCCTAAAGACTCATGCACATCCCCTTATGCAAAAGTCATTTAGTCCATCTGCAAGAGTTGCCAAAGTCCTAACAGTTTCAGCATTGCTGAAGAGTCCAAGTCCCAAGTCTCCTCAGAGATGTAAGGCAAACTCTTAGCTGTGACCCCTGCACAAATGAAAAGTTAAACACTCCCAACATTCAATGGCACAAAATAAGCAGTACCATTCCAAAAGTTACAAACAGGGGGATACAGAGCATGGGGACCAAAGCAAGCCCAAAATCCAGCAGGGCTAACGTTATGTCCTGTAATTCCACATGCAGCATCTGGAGCAACTTGTGGCACATTGTGAGCTCCAAAGGGCTTGCATGAGTCCACCCCTATGACACTTCCAGTGGTTACAGCTGCCACAGCTTCTCTCTTAGGCCTGCTTCGCTCCCTCCCTTGCAGCTTTCCTTAGATGATCCACGGTCCTGGCTTTTCCAAACTTCTGAGGTCTCCAGTGCACCTTTTGCTTCACACTCACAGCCTCACACACTGCCCCCCTCAGGGGCACACTGCCTGGCCTCCCAGGCCTTCTGAAATCTGGGTGGAAGCCTCTCGAACCTCAGAACTCGTGCATTCTCTATGCACCTAAAGCCAGGGCCATGGGGATGATGCCAAGGTCTGCTGCCACCTGGAGCAGTAGCCAAGCTTTCCTCTGTCTTGGCCACAGGGGTCGAGTGCCTGGATCGCTGGGCACTCTGAATCCAATTCTGAGGAACAAATTTTCTATGCTGCCACCATTCTGGAACCTGGTGCGGCTGCCACCACCATTCTGGAACACGGCGCTCAGCAGCTTTCTTCTCAAGGCAAGGCTTTCACCTTTGCAGTTTTGAGGCTGCAAAGGGTGGAGACTTGCTGCTTCTTGTGATGCCTTCAGGCCATCTTTTTTATTTTCTTGTTCCTTCTCAGCAATGGAGATCTCCTCAGCTCCACCTTTGCAGTCCATAGCTTTACTGCAGCTTTCTTTCTGGCCAAACTCACAACATTTTAAATCATCCTGCTGGGCTCTTTCTTCTCGATTCTCAATATAAATCTGGCTAAAAGCCCCCAACAATAGCCATGCCACTTCCCCAACATTCGACTGCCTTGAAATTTCTTTTGCCAAATTAACCAGTCCACTGCCGCCCTTAATCTCAGTCTTAGGCAAAGTCTCTGGACACAAGCAAAATGCAGACAAACTTTCTGCCAAGCCATAACACACATCGTCTGGAGTCCAACGACCAATGAAGTCCTTCTTCCCAGCAGAAACCTCCCAAACCTGGTCTTTACCTGCAGGATTTCTATCAGCCTTCTGGTTTTCGAAGCTCTGACCAGAATCTCCCAGACAGAACAGCCGAAGGCGTTCTAAGAGCGCTTCTCTTTCAGGCGACATCTCTGAACCTTTCCGAACACTTCCCACAAGCCATTTCCAAAGGCTCTTGAACCATATGGTCAGGTATAGTCACAGCAACAACCTCACTCCTCTGGTACTAAATTCTGTCTTGGTTACTTTTCTCTCGTTGCTGAGACAAAATACCCAACGCCCAAAATGAAGGAAGGAAAGGTTTATTTAGCTTGCAGTTTGTGGAAGTTTCAGTCCATACTTGCCTGGCTCCGAGGTAGAAGATAGCAAAGCAACAAGAGCAAAGCGGGGAATGGCAGCAGAACAGAAAAGCACAGAGCAAAAGGGAGGAATGGCCACAAGCAGCCTCTTTCCCTCCCTTACACTGTAAACAGGTACCCCCACCTCAGGGGCCTGTAGCTCTCACATAATCTCCATGCCCTCCTCTCCCACAGGCTCAGGATGTATACAAAGTAAGCACCCTGGCTTCCTGCTGAGTCACTTAGCTAAACCTCTAGACTCCCCAAGTTGACACAGTGTATCAACATAACAGACCCATCCAGTAACCATGAGCCCAAGTTGTAGTCAACTGTATCAGTCATTGTTTTATTAGAGAAACAGATATAATACAAGATGTACAAATATATAAGAAATTACAAGATTGGCTTACGACAGCCAGCCAGAGTTGTATGAGGAAGCGTGCAGAGGGTGTCTGCACACTTAGTTCAGGGTCTGGAGTTCACTGCAGAGTTCCATACAAGTCTGTACCAGGGAGCCAATGAGTCTGCAACGGAAGGCTGAAAGATCCAAGGCAGAAGCCGAAGAGTCTGCACTAGAAGCCAGGAGACAAAGTCCAAGATGAAGGTGAAGACTGGAGCTCCTCCAAAAGGAATGGAAGTACCTCTGTCCTTCTTCATTTCCTTTTTATATCATCAAGGTGATGATCCACTGTAGGGTGATCCTCTACACTCTAGGGTGTAGAACTGCAGGGCCAATAGCTGAGCCAAATTTAGTTAAGCTTCTAAACGTGTCAAGTTGACATAATCAATCAACCACTACATCAACCTTCCCATTAAAAGGAACCAGGACTCAGTACAGGTGTGGGTTCCCCACACACACATGACAATATACTAGAGACATTCCTCACTTCTCTTAGACACAGATTATTCCATTATGTAGCCACCCTTCCATGGCTTATTCAAGTCATCTTTTGAGAGACGTTTGGCTCCTTCTAGATTTGTGGTATCATAAATCATGCTATAAAGATTCACTTTCTATGGCTATGCACATTTACAGTTTATTATGCTAATGTATTTCTTCAGCATTTTTAAAACGTGAAGAAAAAAGGTAACTAGCAACAACCTGAGTAAGAGAGAGTAGGGAACACTGAGGCAGGTAGTGCAGGTTGGGGGGAACTATGGTCATCCCCAAACAACCGTCTCTCACAGAAACCAGAATGAGCGCTGTGGAAATGACATGACAAGAGGCCAGACCTGAGAGACAACTAGGAAAAGAACTTCAGGAGTGTGAGGACAGCTGGATTTGAGAAAGGAGATCTCTCCACCAGATTCTTATCTGTGAAAAGTTGACAATCACTGGGTAGAGACAGCATAGAAAATCTGAGGAAGAGAAATTCACTGGAACACTACACTTCAAAGGCCTTTGAGATGTCAAACTCAAAAAGTCAAGTTACCAGAAATGGTCCAACTACACACCTGAGGGTCCTCAGCACACGGGCAGTAGCCCTATCTGTAACAGTGGGAGAGTCTGAGCCAGAATCCTGAGGGAACCCATGGACATGTAGCACATGCTGGTGTACTGCACATATGTGTGTGGGCACATGTGGGTGTGTTTAATTGAACACAGTATAATAAACATCTAAACATATGCAAGAGCGACATAATGAACCTCTAATACCTCTTAGTTCAGCTTAAATGACGAAAAATAATTTATTATTCTTTCACTACCACCTCCCAACTTTTTAAGTATGTTAAGCAAGATTCCCAAATTCATAGGATTTCACCGACAAATGATATATTTCTTATCCTAACATATAAGTTCTGTTATTCTTACAACTACAAAACCACAATTCCACCTAACAATAGTATTCTGCTTGGGCTGCCATAATAAAATACACTGATAAAAGTGTAAAAAAACAGCAGAAACGAGTTTTCTTCTGTCTGTAGATTGCACGTTAGAGGTGAAGGGACCCACAGGCTGGTTTCTCCTGAGGCCACTCCTCGGCTTACCGATGTCTTCCTGGTGTGTGCTCACATGGTCATTCCTAGCTACTTGGGAGCCTGAGGCAGGAGGACCTCAAGTTCAAGCCCAGCTCCGGCAACTTCGGGAGATCCTGTCTTAAAAGTCAAAAATGGTAAAAGGGAATGCAGGTGAAGCACAGTGCAAAGGCCCTGTGGTCAGTCCCCAGTACAAAAAAACGAAAACAAAAACAAAACAAACAAACAAAAAAAAACGGGAGAAAGTACGTTATCTGTAAATGGTACACCTGACAAGCAAGTGCTTAGTGTCCAAAATGATAACTACTCATAATGACAAAGCTCGATTTTCAAACAAAGGACTTGAACACAGGGTTCTTTGAAGAACAAGGCCAATGAAGACAAGAAAACACTTTCCCTGCCGCTGGACAATACAAGTCAAAACTACACTTAGTACCATTGCGCATCCTTTAGACTGCTGTTAGCAAAGTAATGGAAAACAAAAACCTCGAAGAGGCCAGCTCTAATGGCATAGGTCTGAAATCACAGCACTTGGGGAGGCTGAAGCAGAAGGATCACAGGTTGGAGCCCAACCTGAGCAACCCAGCAAGACTCAGTCTCAAAAAGGAAGGGGCGGGGGCGGGACGGGGCCAGCCACGCCCACCCAAGCCTTCCGGCCCGGGCTCCTCATCCAGGCCCCGCCCCTTCCGCCCGTGTCACCGACACCGCCCAGCCGGTCGACCCGAAGTGCGGCCGGCCGGCTGAACTGGCCGTGGGCCAGGCGGAGGGTCCGCGCCGCTGAGGGGCTGCGTGGGCCTTGCGGCCTAGTACGGACCACGTTCCGCGAGCCCAGCGCCGCGGCGGCCCACCGTGGGGCAGGACTGCGGCGGGGAGGCCGCTGAGCTAAGCTCGCGAGATCCAGCGCGGGTCAGAGGTGAGCGAGGCGCTCCGGGAGCGCCGGTCTGGTTCTCGCGAGAGGACGCCGTCCCCCGAGACCCGGCGCTCTGGGCGGGGGCCTGGCGGCCACTCTGCAGGCGCCCTGTCTGTGGCCTCGCCGGGTGCTACCCCGCCACGCTTTTAATTCTAGGGTGACCTTAGAGTTCCACTTGTAGGTGTTACCGGAAGCGCGCAAGGTTTTGCGTGAAAGTTCTCGGGGGGCGTGTTCCTGGGTGCCGGTGACGCCCGTGCGGGGGCTGACGGCGTTTTGCGGGCGGAAGCTAAGTTACCCGGGAGCTGCGTCGCTGGGGGTCGGCGACCGGCCCGGCAGGCGGGCGTTGGGGGCGACGTCTCGAAGCGGCGCGCGGAGATGCC